ACTTAAATGATTTTAAATTTGAATTCATTGTTTAGAGTTAAATAAACAGTTGTATTTTATGATTAGTCAGTCTCGTATCACTAAATCGTAGATTTCATACTTAATTTACATTTGGCAACTGAGCGAAGGTTTAGAATTATCCGATTAATGTGAACAAAACTATATAAAATGGTTTAAGATTGTATCAATCTTCTAATGGTTCAGGATTGCACTGATCTAGTAAAATCTTTAGAAAAATTACATTTTTTTAATGAAATATTCAGATTATACATCTCACATTACAGATAATATACATTAAATATACTTATCCAACTTTATTATTTTTGGGTGGTTCAGGTTCGATAGAATCTCCAAGTGGCTTGGGATTGATAGAAAGATGTAAATATATATAGTGAAAAATAATTCTACTCTTACAAAATAATTAAACAATAAATAAAATTAAAATGTTTTTTATTTAGTTTCCAGCTCGCCTAGAAAAAAGCACTCCATCGGTCGTTGTGGAAAACATTATGAAACCTGTTACTATTGCGATCAATTTTTTCTTACCAAGTCTCATTTTCTATTGCATTTTTTCGTTTTTCATTATATTAAGAAAATATTAAAAAATTCTAATACATTGTCACCTAATAAAAATATGTTCCAATGTGAAATTTGTTCCAAAACACTTTCATCCAAAAATGCTTTAAACGAACATTTGAAAATATGTTCGAGACAGTTTAACCATAAAAAATCTGAATTGAATTTACACTTATCTGTTCATAATAACCAAAAACGGTTCAGTTGCGAAATTTGTTCGAAACAGTTCAGAAAGAAAGCTTATTTAAATAAGCATCTAAAAATTCACACTAGTATAAAAACAAAGTTCAAATGCAATATATGTTTAAAACGCTTTAGAAGGGAATCCTATTTGAATACTCATCTAAAACGTCACACTAATAAAACAAAATCGTTAAAATGCCAGATATGTTCGAAGCAGTTTGTAGGGCAATTCGATTTGAATGCACATTTAAAAGCGCACTTGGGAGTAAACCCATTCGAATGTGATGTCTGTTTAAAACAGTTTACCCGTAAGTCAAATTTGAATAAACATTTAAATAATCACCATGGAGAAAAATCATTCAAATGCGATTTCTGTTCGAAACAATTTAACCAAAAATCCAAATTGACAGCACATTTAAAAATTCACACTGGAAAAACCTTTAAGTGTGAGGCCTGTTCAAAACAGTTTAGTGACAAATCTGATTTTAAGAAACACTTGAAAATTCATAATTATTTATACTATAAAATAATCGTTTGATATACGATTACCAAATAACTTAATCGCACGGAAGCGTAGAAGGGCCACAAGATTTTTTTTTACATTTCCGACTTATAACTCTGAAAAATCGATTTTTCTGACTTAAAACTATAATAATGTTTCTTAAAAATGTTTTTTATATCTTGTTTTCTAATCAAAATTACTTCGTCAAAAAGGTATGACCCAATTTCATCATGAGGAATCGCATATTGTGGCACCCTCTGTAACAAAATGTAAAATAAAAAATAAAATAAAATTTGTTTAAAATTATGCCTCGCCAATTTGATTAACGATTTATGAATATGTTGTGAAATTATAACTAAAAAACGAAAAAATACTTCACTTCTTTTTTCACAGCAACATCTTATTGAGGTACGTTAGGTCCAAGTCTCACATTTTGGTCCAAATAACCTGCACTTACTCTGTGTCCCTATAATTATGACTCGCCGTGTATACAGGGTGTCCCGAAATAAGACGTAATCTACATCCTAAAATAGGAGTAAAAGTTTATATAAACAGAGGTCCGAAAACGTTTTGTTTCCGAGATACAGGGTGTTAAAAGTGAAGTCCTGACGACACATTTTTGTAAATATTTTCCAAACTTTTAAAGATAACTAAGTGAAATTTAGTACAAATGCTAAAACTTTTTACGCTCTAGTTAATGGACTAAACGTCAGTTTTTGATCACCTTCATAGGTGGGTAAACTAAGGGAGGGGCTTAGGTTTAAATTATCCCAAGTTTTTTTGTTGACTGTTTTTAACATTTTTGACTACAAAATTTGGAAAACCAATATTTTCTTTATAATAAAGCTACTTTCGTTGTATATCGCTAGGACGCACCGTTTTCAAGAGAAACATTTGGAAATTTCATGAATTGATTTTATCTTCAGTGTTGCCGTTTAGATGGAAATTTCCCTATTAGGTGGAAATTTTTGGAGAATTTGTTTCCATAGTGACTTTAGTGCGAATTAATCTTGGATTTTTTTCTTTTTAATAAATAGATGTTTATTACTTATTATTTCAGTGATGTCTTAATCAAGACCTGACACATGTCATGTTTTATGTTTTGACATATGACATTTTTTATGTTTGAACATATATGTTTTTGTGGTGTTGTGATCATTGTAATTTGATATCATTTGATGATTGGATTCGTATTATTTTAACTTATTTTTAATGATGGATGAAAGGTAATAAAAACAGAGCACTATAGTAAGGAAAAGAGAAAAGTCCGTGTCAAAACAAAGTTGAGCGATAATTTTCCTTCTGAAAACAACTACTCCTTTAGCTAATAACGCAACAATTTTGGAAAATAAAGTCAATATTTTTAATTTTTAGAAAATAATTAAAAAATTTTGATAAAAAAATTAATTATTTTAGATAAAAGTCAAAATTTTTAATAAATACCATTAAAATTTTTAGAGTAAAATTTTGGAAGGTTGACATTTTGAGAAATATAGATTAAATTTTGAGAATATGTCAAATATTAAGAGAAAAATTAAAATGTTTATAAATAAATGAAAAAATTTTGAGAAATTGTCAAAACTTTTGAAAAATAAAGTTGATATTTTGAGAAAATACCATCAATATTATGATAAAAATTTTATTATTTAAAATAGTCAAAATTTTGAAAAATTTGAAATTTTTAGAGTTAAATTCAATAATTTTGGGAAATGAAGTCAATATTTTAAGAAAATATTGTCAAAACTTTTGGAAAATAAAGTTGATATTTTGAGAAAATAACGTTAATATTTATAAAAAAAAATCAAAATTTGAATAAAAAAATATTTTAAAAATACCGTCAAAATATTGAGAGTAAAATTAAAATGTTTATAAATAAATAAAAAAAAAAAAAGGGAAAATAATGTCAAAACTTTAGAAACATTTTTACATTTTGGGAAAAAGTCAAAATTTAATGAAGTTAAAATTTTGAGAAAATAAAGCAAAAATTTTTCCGTTTTTTAGTCCATCGTTGATACATAAGAAAAGTGACGCAACTCAAAAACATACATTTTCGAGAACATCTATTTTAAAGTTTCCTGTCATTTTCTTGAATTTTAAAACTGCTAAAATCTTTTTTGCCAATAAACATTAGTGTTTACCTTGTATTCAAAAAAATAACAAGTTTGCTTTGATAACATTAAGAAAAAATCCAAAAATATTATATTTTAATCCCTTTCTTGAGTTATGACGATCTTCCAGAAAAGTATATTATTTCACACCATAGTCATAATGACCTTTTCAACAATAATGTCATAATTTGACTTATGTCACTATTGAAAATAATTCAATAAAACTGATATTTTTATTTATATTACTCTAGCCGAAAATTGACGATATTGTACCGTTGACTGTCGAAGTACAACTAGATTTGTGTCACTCTTCATAATCATAAATTCGCGATATTGGAATACGATAAGACAGTTATTTTTGGAAGTAGCAATATATCGTTCTTCTACATATAAATAGGATATTTTTGATGTACATTTTCAGAAATATTCGAAAATGCAGTTGTGTCACTATTCTTGTACACCAACGATGTGATAATATAAATAATTTTAAAATTTATCAAAATTTGTACTGTACATTTGGAGTGCAAATAAAAAGTTTTTCCTTTTTTTAATCCATCGTTGATACATAAGAAAAGTGACACAACTCAAAAACATAAATTTTCGAGGACATCTATTTTAAAGTTTCCTGTCATTTTCTTGCATTTTAAAACTGTTAAAATCTTTTTTGGAAGTAAACATTAGTGTTTATCTTGTATTCAAACAATAACAAGTTCGCTTTGATAACATTAAAAAAATCCAATATTATATTTTAACTCCACTCTTGTGTTATTACGATATTATTTCACACCATAGCCATAATGACCTTTTCAACAATAATGTCCTAATTTGACTTGTGTCACTATTGAAAATAATTCATTAAAACTGACATATTTTTATTTATATTACTTTAGCTGAAAATTGACGATATTGTTTCGTTGACTGACGGAGTACAACTAGATTTCTGTTACTCTTATCATCATAAACTCGCGACATTGTAGTACGATAAGACAATTATTTTTGGAAGTAGCAACGTGTCGTTCTTCCACATAACAATATACCAATTTTGCTATACATTTTCAAAATAAGCTGGAAATTGTCTTTGTGCCACTATTGTTGTGCAACAACGATGTGCTGATATAAATAATTTTAACCAAAATTTGGGCAGAACAGCTCGGAGTTCAAACGCTCTATATAATTATTGTTCATATATATTCTAGATAAGTTCATTATCTTACATTTTGTATATAATTTTTACCGTAATGTGGATAAAAACGAGTTATTTTCAGTGGCGTAGCCAAGGGGAGGATTTGGGGGGTCAGAACCCCCCCCCCCCCTATAGAGGCCTTCGCGTCACCGTTTCCGCTATCTTATTGGCGCTGATCGCCATTAACTGTTTGTTAACCCCCCCCCCCCCCCCCCCACCATAGTACTAAGAAACCCCTCCCATAAAAAAATGTTGGCTACGCCACTGGTTATTTAATAATACTAATTTACTGATTTTTGAAGAGTGTCATACTATATTTTATCTACGACCATACTTTTTTATTTCTTTCATAATAAAATTATAAATTTTCTAGACAATAAGTTGGAAATTATATTTCTCTCCAATGTTGGAATTTTAGACTAATTGAAAATAACTCATTTGCCAAATTTAATAATATCAAATAATAAAGTAATCCTTACGTCTCGCATTTTTTATGAAATGTAGTTTTAAAAACGGTTCTAAATAAATAAAACTAATATGCTTTTTATTTTAGTTTCCAGGTCATCTAGAAAAAAGCACCCCTGCGCCCATTTTGGAAATTATCACGAAACCTGTTGCTATTGCTGTCAATTTTTCCTTAATAAGTCACATTTTTTATTGCATTTTTTTATTTTTCATTATGTAAAGAAAATAAAAAATTGCAAAAATAATAAAGCAAATATTAGATTACACACTAATAATAACATGCCTCTATGTGAAATTTGTTGTAAAACACCTATAACGAAAGGAAATTTAAGAAACAAATGTGAAATGTGTTCCGGGCAGCTCATACAGAAATACTCTAAAAATACTCACAAAAAAAATCGCAGTGAAGGAAAATTGTTCAAGTGTCCAATATGTTATAAAAAATTAAAAACTGAATTGAATTTTCAACTACACCTGAAACTTCACATTCGAGATAAACCCTTCAAATGCGAAATATGCTCCAAACTTTTTAACTATAAATCTAACTTGCACAAGCATTTTGTAACTCACACTGGAGAAAAATCGTTTACATGCTCAATATGTTCGAAACGGTTCACCCAAAAAACCAGTCTCCAAAGGCACTTAAAAATTCATTCTGGCGAAAAATTGATGATAACTTGCCACATATGTCCGAAACAGTTCGACGAATGTAATATAAAAAGGCATTTAAAAACTCACTCCGGAGAAAAATCCTTTAAATGTGAAATGTGTTCGAAACAGTTTAGTCAGAAATCCACTTTGAAAAAACACTTCAGAATTCACACTGGAGAAGAAAAACAGTTCCAATGCGAAATATGTTTGAAACAGTTCAGCGATAAATTTAATTATAAAACGCACTTGAACATTCACGCTCCAGAGAACCCGTTCGCGTGCGAAATATGTTCGAAAGAATTCAACCATAGATCCAATTTGAAGGAACACTTAAGAACTCACACTGGTGAGAAACCGTTCAAATGCCATATATGTTTGAATGAATTCGCTCATAGGTCATCTTTTAATACGCATTTTTATCGTCACACTGGAGAAAAGCCATTTAAGTGCGAATTGTGTCCCAAGCGATATACCCGGAGTTCCAAATTGAAATTACATTTCTTGAACAAGCACAGTGGAAATTGATGGTTCAAATGTCAAATATTGAATGAGTTTAGCTCTAAATTCCATTTTGAAAATTCAAAATTGTTTAACCATAAAGTCTGTTTAAAAACACACTTATAAAAGCCACACTCGAAAAATGTATTGGACTTCACACTGGACGAAATAGTTTAGCAACAACAACAAGTCCAGTTTTAAAAATAATTTGAAAATTCACAAAGAAAAATATGTGTGTTAGATTTTGAAATGAATTTAAACCTGATTTAAATAATTAAATTAACAATAAATAAAAATAAAATTATTTTAGTTCCTAACTCGTCTAAAAAAACGCTCCAATCATTATTTTAGAAAATACGAAACTGGTAATGTTTACCCATAAACTAATTCAGCGAAAGAACATTTTAAATCCTCCTTTACCGCAGTTCTCTAACCTAATAGAATTAGAGGCAACCAGGCGTGGCTCGTGACCAAAATTTTGGGGATTCACAGTAGCAGAATATAGATCTCGGTACAGATATAGGTAAAAAACTGTCAGTGTTTTAGAAAGGTATTTTATAAACTTTCTAAAACACTGAAAGTTTTTTTCATACATCTGTACTAATACCTATATTCTATCACTGCGAACCACCCCACGAGCCGCCTCTGGAGGCAATTCATCTTTCCAATTATTATTATTATGAAGTTTAGCCTCAAGAGATCCTTTTAATGTCCTATGGAAATGTTCTATCATTCGGTTTGATTCCGGATGAGAGGTAGTGGAATGTAAATTTTTAAAACCTATTTTTTTTTTACTAAATTCTGTAGAGAAATGTGACTCGAATTGCTTACCTTGGTCATGTGACTCATGTGTGATGCTATGAGGTACACCAAATCGAGCTATATAATTGTTTATTAAAGTTTTGATAATTACTTCTGTGGTATTTGTTGGTAAAGGGTAAGCTTCTACCCACCTAGTGTATCTATCTATAAGAGTTAATAGATATAGATATGAACAACCTCCTGAAGGTTTATGAGGTTCAACAATATCTACACACAACCAAACTTTTATGGAATCACTGTGTATTTCTGAATAAACTTTTTATAAGGAAAAAATTTGTTATCCAACTTTAAGATACGGCTTTTCGTTCTAAATAAACATGACAATTTAAAAGAAACGACTGCTGCGATTATCTTGTGAATTTTGTGTTCAAAAGTAAAATCACGATCCTCCGGTAATTCCTTATGCTGGACTAACAGATACGCAGAAGGGAAGAATTATTGCCCTCATTGAACAAGGAATGTCCCAATGAAGACGTAGTAGAGGTAGTAGGCGATACCAAGGGTGTTGTATTGAAAACATATGAAAGGTACTTGGAACTAGAACCTCTCAAGAACAGGCCCAAACAAAGTCGTAAAAGAGTCACAACTGAAAAACAGGACCGCTTTGTGTGCCAAAAAATGGCTCTTAACTGAAAACACTTTCCTCAAATCTTCGACGGTCCAGGTCACATATTTTTTCGCCCAATAACATCATGGCAGAGTCAATAACTGTTTCTTTTAAGGTCTAACTGTTTTTCTTCCACCATCTATAAGTCGTTTTCATACCGTAGAGTCATGAACTAAGTCTTGCTGAAGTTCTTGGCTTGTTTTCCTAGGGTTTAATTTACCTTCCCTTATTAAAAAAGCTTCATCCCTTTTTGTTGTCTTTCTTTTCCTTCCACATTTCCCTTTTCTGTTCACCTAAATCATCCCTATGTTCCTTTTTTGCTCCAAAATCTTCAAAATATCTTAAATTGTACGAATTCAACTAAAACAGTTTATAGATCTCATTTTAAGCAAAAAGGAAGGATCCAATCTCGATCAGTAGCGGGATTACAGGTTGTTAGAGTTTTTCTTTAATTTTAATTCACGTAAACATTGATCAAAATTCGATCAAATGTTAAGAGATGTAAGAGTTAAATAACTAATTAGAAATCCCAAAAAAATATCAAATTTCACTAGTGGTGTGCATCTGTAAATGTATTATTTCTGTAAATTTTTAACCTCCTGTAACTTTGATACTGATCAAGATCGGACCATTGTTAATATGAACCTTTTAACTTAAAATTATGAGATCTATAACTTTTGTCAGTTTGTTTTATATAATTTGGGATACCCTGTATAATATATGACTTATTAAAAATTGAAAAAAATTAATGTTCGACGTATAAAATTAGAAAATTAGAAAAATTAACTTTCAACTTTATTATATCCCTTTAATTAAAATTATAGAGCATGGATATTCAAATATTACTTACAATCTTATGTAATAATCGTATTAAATATTATCTTCGTCTTCTGAGTCTTCCCTGTCCTCTTCAAAAACTGGGTTTGGCAGTTGGGAGTTCTATTTTTGGTTTTAAAAAGCTTTTAAGACATGGATCGTCTGTTGGACATAGCCTAGATAACACCATCGAAGAGGCCATTAAACCATTACAATTAGAATAACCTTTGCACTTTGTTCCCCACTGAAAAATAAAAACCCGCCGACCCTGACTATAAATACAGGTTACCAATATAATATGTCTATATTTTAAACATCTTACTAATAAATGTATTAATATTTTATCAAAAAATATAAAAAATACCTTAAATTAACTTAAATGAATAAAAAAACAAAATTTATAGAGGGTATGTACTTACGAAATGAAAATATAACCTAAATTTTAACATAAAAACTATTGTAAAATATTAAAAATGTCCAAACACTAAGACATTTATTAATTAACTAACATTTAATAGCAACAATATTTTTTTCTCTAAATGTATCATAACTATTCAAAAGACTCTTTAGAAGCACTTATAAACAAATCGCCTGGTAAGAACAACAGAGACAAAACTGAGAATAGTTCTAAACAATATAACTGACAATTTGTTTTTTTTATAATCTGTTTTTTTTTATTATATATTTCGATAAATAAAGGAATATAAGTATTTATTTTTGAATTTTTTTCCTGATTTACGTCATTATTGCATCAAATTTTAAACGTTTATTGCACTAGTTCGCGCACCGTAAGTCACGGCGTAATTACAGAATAGTCACTGTTGTTGACATACATTTTCGATGCTTTCCCAAACAAGCCAAGTCGAAACACTGTCACTGACTCCAGAGTCCAGACTTACGTCGCTAATGCATCAAGTACTAGACCATTTCATCCCTACCCTAAAGACATTGCGCTGCGCTCTAGGAATAAGCATGTGAAATAACTTTATGCCGGTCTTGCATATAAATGAGGCAGATCTAGATGTCGATAGGTTGGCTTAACTCAATTTTTTTATTTTTGAGTTTCGCCACTATTGTTCTCACAAAACGTAGTTTATGAGAAAACCTATTTTAAAAATGTTCAAGGATTCTTGTCAGATTCTAAGGTATTTTAGGTATGGATTCACATTTTAATCTCAAAATTTCGGATTTTGGAATTCATTTTTTTACCCCTGTACCCTAAAAACGTATATGTCAAATTCAATGATGATTTGCTTTTGTTGATAGTTACCTGTCAGTAGAACACAAATTGCGTCACTATAATATAGCGTATTTTAGATCTGAATATTTTGGTGGCTTAAGATATGGGGGAAATTAGGGCATAAATAATTGAAAGTATTTATAGACTTATTAATATTTCTTGAAAATATGTGAAGTGTGGGTTGTATCAAAATTACTTCGTTGATTGGTTAACTAACCAAAGGTAAAATTGAACTAAGCTAATATCTACGGTGTGTTCCATAAAGTTGGATGCATAAGGGATTTTTTATTTTTTAATATTACGATTAGAAAAAAGCGTCTGCTTATTTAAAAACTTGAAATAGCTCATATCAAAGTTGACTACTGACATTAATTTTCTGTAAAAATTCGCATTTAAAACAAAATTTTTGAACGATATGTCAAAAAAATACTGAATTTGACAGATAACTAATGCAGTACCTAGCCAGCTTTAATATGGTGATTTTAAGTTTTTAAGAAAGCAAAGATGAATGTCCTACGACGTTTTTTTCCAATCGTAATGTAAAATAAAATCCTATATGGAACACACTGTATATGCAAAAGTAATCTTAACTAGACCAGTTTACTCTAATCAGCTGTTGTACAATAGACATGTGACCAATCAACTCCGGTTAACAATGCGATCTTAGATAGTGTTTTCATTGTACAGGGTTATTCATTATAAACTGCTCACCCTGTATCATCGGTATTACAGCATTGATAAAAAAATCAATGCATTAAAGTTGCCAGTGTCATCGAAAAGACAATTTCTTGCAGTTTTTACGGGATACAATGAAAAATTGTAATTTTTTAAATTGGATACCTTGTATATTATAAACATTTTGGTATATTCTGTTTTCCTCATTTCAAAAATATACCATATTTATGTTACCTGTATCTTATACCATAGTTACTGTAAATATTAAAAAGTTAGCTGTATAATCTCAGATATGTAGGCCAATAAATAAATATAAATACAAAATTATGAAAGTTATAAGTTATAAAAATTAATTATGTTTGATAAGTGACATTTCTTGGTATATTTTAGGAATGAGGAAGAAAAAGATAATTCCATAAATTGTATCCCGTTAAAAAATATTTAATTTTTGTTGTATTTCACGAAACATGCACGCCACTGTGTTTTTGATAGCATTTTAACAAAATTCAGTCATAGCCAGAAAAGTTTTATTTAAAATATTTGTTGGTATAACATGCAATAATGAAGATGATAGTGGGTTAGTAATTTATAATGAATGATCTTCTACTTGCCAGACACATTATAATATAATAATATTGTTTTATTTTACTTGGTAATAAACTTAAAACTGCTTCAACAATTCTTAATTTTTCACATTTATCTACACGTTTGACATTTCAAATAAACAATTACTATTTCAGAAATGTCACATATTGATATTAGTGTATAATCAAATTATTGAAAAGTTTGCGTACGTGTGATCAAAGTGTGTATTTTTATGCCATTCTAATAGGATTTGTAGAAAAATTGTATATGGTTTGAATTGTTTTTCAAATTTTCAAAATAAAATTTGACTTTTAAAATCTAAATACACAAAAAAATATTTAACCTAAAATTGTACGTTAATGACGTTATTGAACTAATGAGCATCCATGTATATACAAAAATAAGATATCAAGATAAAAATATTGAACAATCTGAAAAATGCCGTTTTATTTTTTCACGCCAATCGGTTGTATGTTTACTATGTCATGAGTTTAAATACATCGTATTGGCGCGAGAAATTTGATCATTCTTATAACCCATTAAAATCACTCTTAAAAAAGCTTCTCTTGTAAAATATCGATCTATGTAGTTACGAGGTATCAAAATTAAACCATCGATATGTCTGTCGCGTCAACAAACTACCTCTCCTTTTGCTGAGGATCTACTTTTATCTTTAGAAATATCAAAAAGCATAAAAGCATTAAATATAACTCCTCTATTTTACCCCGATTCAAATTCAAAGCTTATTGTATAAATCTTTTCACTAAAAAAAAAATGGAGTGTGTATTTTTTATCTTAATGGAACAAATTTCACATATTGAAACTGTTATTGTACATACGTGTAAATTACTTGTCATTTTCTAGTTATTTGTCATATTTGCTTTCTTTTATACAGGGTGTTTCATTGAGAAATAATACGTATTAAGAGTATACGTATACATTGCACACACATTAAATTTGACATGTTTAGAACCACTTACTTATCATGTATCTGCGTCTGTGTATTTCGAAATAGAACGCCCTGTATATTAAAACAATTAAAATATTATGAGTTAAGAAATAGACTCTTAAAGGCAGAATAAAGTATATAGTTAATTAAAATATAAAATTTGTCAGTGATGTACATAGTGGGATGTATGACTAATAATAATAATTATTACTTATTTCATAAATCTTCATCCTGTCTTGTCAAATAAAAATGTATTGTTAATTATTTTTTCTTATTTCATAAAACACAAAAATCTTATTACTTTTGTGTTTATTCATTGTAAATGTTGTATATCGTACAATCTTCAACAATACCTGTACCTATCCCACGTGACTAAATTGGCTGAAACTATCTT